GCTCTTGAGTGAAAAGGACTCAAAACTCAGGGCAGAATGTGAGGATGGTCAATCATCTCAGATATAAAGAGAGGCTAGCTGGTCACCTCATCTCAGCAGGAAGTAGTGGTCAGGCTGTGTCCATGAAGCTGGCCTCCGTTGATCTTTCTTTTCCTTTCTAAGACCATGGTGGGGGAGTGGGGGTGCAGGGGATGTCTTTACTCCTTAGAAGGATAAATGCAATTAGATAAAGAGGGAAAGAAAAGAAAGAAAAAGATTTTGAGTTGGAATTTTCCAAGGGTTCCTTTATACAGATATTATCTCTATTATACAGTTGGGCAAACTGAGTCATGAAAAGGTTACAGACACATCCAAAGCCACAGGATTAGTAAGATTTGATTCCAGAGCCCAGGCTCTTGGTCATGACCTTATATTGGCCTCTTGGTGGCTTGTTGAGCAGAGGGGACCTGATAAGGAGGGGTGGCAGGTGCAGTATATAGAAAGGACAAAGGACTTGCACTTGTGTCCAGATTCTACTACTTACTAATCAGAATAAGTGTAGGCAAGTGACTTTCTCTCTCTGAGCCTCATGTATTAAAATGAAGGTAACACCCTTACTTGGAAGGTTTGTTATAATGATTGAATAAGAGAGTACAGATGAGGGGGGTGGGGCAGTATAGGGGTAGGGGATTAAGAGATACAAACTCTTAGGTATAAGATAAGCTACAGGTACATATTGTACAACACAGGGAATATAGCCAACATTTTACCTTGTGTAAGGTATTAACTGACTAGCCCAGTGGGCTGAGCCATGGAGCTCCAGTCTGCAGGTGGGATGCAAATAGCTTTGGAGAAGAAGGTAGCAAAAAAGAGCGCTGTGCTCACTGTGTCCTAAGTGTTCTCTGTCTTTCCTCCATAGTCACCCCCGGAGCCCGGATTTGGTAGTTACTGCATATGATGATATGGTAAGGAGGGCCACGCTGACATATTTTGCCTCCTAACTGTGCCAGTGCCTCTGTGTACTGAATAAAATAAAAAACTGAACTAGCTGCAAGCACTGAAGTTGGCCACCAGAAGCCAGTATACCCAGAGTAATTGAATTACCCATGGAGTAGGATCAACCAATGCAACTGCCTCATTTTTTTTAACTTTTTTTAAAAAATTGAGGTATAGTTGATGTACAGTATTATGTTTCAGGTGTAAACATAGTGATTCACAGATTTTAAAGGTTATACTCCGTTTACAGTTATTATAAAATATTGGCTTTATTTCCTGTGTTGTAAAACGTATCCTTATAGCTTTTTTATTTTATACATGGTAGTTTGTACAATCGCCTCATTTTATAGGGGCTTCAAGAGGGACAGGTTCACACAACAAAATAGCAGAAGTGACATTCAAGCTCAGACAGGTCCTAAAAGGGATGACCACTGCAGGTCCTGAATTCGTTTTGATAAACTTAGAGGGGGCAGAATGCTGGAGGGGCCTCTGTTTCCCTCTCTCTGCCCCCAAATCCTGCCAAAGGACCCTACAAAATTTGTTTGACCTGGGAAATTGCAAGATTATGTTGCTAGGACAACAGGTTTGACCAGGGGTCAGTAACTTTTTAAAATTTATTTATTTTTGGCTGCATTGGGTCTTCTTCGCTGTGCGTGGGCTTTCTCTAGTTGCGGCGAGCGGGGGCTACTCTTCTTTGCGGTGCACGGGCTTCTCACGCTCAGACGCTCGGACGCGCTCAGAAACGTAGCCAATCAAAAAGCGAGGGTGCTAGCCCCGCCTCCCCGGATTTGACGGACAGAGGGAGGAGACGCGGAAGTAACGTGATCATACCCGCCAATCAGAGCTGAGGATTACGTCTCGCGCTGTTCCAAGTAACAAGGAGTGGGAGGAGCTCAAACCTACTGCTGCAGGCGTTCCCCAACAAATCGGAACCTTCGTTCCCTCCCGACTCAGGAATTGATTGGTCACTTTTCAGAACTTGCCTGTCAATTTTGAAAGCTGGGTAAAGGGCATCTTCTTAGAGGCGCAAGAACACGCCTCCGCTCTCCCAGCTCGGGGAGGAAGGGCCTTAAAGGGCCAGGTACATGGTAAGTGGCGAGGTCGGACCCTGACGGCAGAAACCGGAGGAACAGTAACAGAACAAAACACGAAGCAGTGCCGTTACGCTGGAATTGGGTTTTATGTCGCAAAAACCCAGAGACCTAGCTTACGTTAGGTCAAGAGCTAGTAAGAAGCGGAACGAGGATTCGAACCCTTATTTCGGAGCCCTGTTTGACATAAGCTTCCTAACCGGATGGATGAGACCTGCATGCTAATCATAGTCGCCAGGAAAGGAAAACCAGACTTTCTGGTAAAAATCTTTAGATTCCAACCACCTAGCCTTTGCTCGCGCCGTTTCTTCTACATCAACTATCCATTCACCCTAGACCTAGCCCAAAGGCCACCTCCTCTAAAACAAAACAAAACACCAAAAAACCCAAAAACCTCTCCGACCTTCTCCCCCACGCCTTGCAAGCGAGCAACAATGTTTTCCTGGACCCCGACCTCCCCCTCCCCCTTGCCTCCAGGCAACGTTTAATCCGCTTCCGGCTGTCACTGTCCTGTTCCGCCCTGTGTCCCGGCTCCCATCACCCCAGAATGTTATTGTCCATCTCTGTGTCTGTCCCCCACCTCTCAAGACTGAGAGCCCTTCGAGAGCAGGTACTGGTTCTGCGTCATCTCGGCGTCACCAGTATCATCCAGCACAGAACTCGAAAGCTAGTCTCGGATTTCTCATCCTTAAAGTGGGATGTTGTGAACTTCTTGTAAAAAAATTCATACTCAAAGGCGCCGCCCTGGTTGAGAACTTTGCATCATCCTTGATTCCCCATTATTCGTGTCCAGCAGCCCTGCAGCAAATCCCGATGGCTCTCCCTCCAAAACACATCTTAAATCTATTCACATCTTCCCATCCCCACTACCCGCACCCTCCTTGGAGCCGTCACCACCCATGCCCGGAGGATGGCAGCATTCTCCCTAGGCGTCCTGCTTCCACTCTTGCGTTCCACCACAATCCACTATCCAAACTGCAGGCACAGTGCTCTTCTTAAAACATAAATTGTGTCACACTTCTGCTTACAAATGTTCAAAGTCGTCTCAATGTTCCAGAATTAAAAAAAAAAAAAAATCCAAAGTCAGCCTAGAAGGTACTATACAGTCTGCCTCCTACTTGTGTCTCCATTAAGCACAGACTCTGGAGTCAGGGTTCAAATCCCAGTTGTGCTACTGACGAGCTCCGTGACCTTGAGTAACTTACTTAGCCTCTCTGAGGCACAGTTTTTGAACCTCTGTGAAATGAAGACTAAATAAATTGGAATTATTCATTAAAATAGACCTCTAGTTTGTTAAAAAGAAGAAACTGACCAGTAGTCCTCAAAGCTGTCAAAGTTGTGAAAAACAAGGAAAGACTGAGAGACTGCTGCAGAACAGAGGCGACTGAGGGGATGTGATGACTCAGTGGGATCCTGCCTTGGATTCTGGAACAGAAAAAAGAGGACATTCGGGTAAAAACTGGCAAAATCCAAATGAAGTCTGGAGTTTAGTGAAGAGTCTTAAGAGTCATGTTGGTTTCTTAGTTGTGACAAATGTTCCACGATAATGTAAGAAGATAACAAGAGGGGAATCGGGGTGAGTTACAAAGTTATCTTCGTCACTTTTCTGTAAATATGAAGGTATTCCAAAATTTTTAATATATATATATTTAAAAAATAGACCTGTCCCTCTCCTCCTAGCTTATTGCTTCCCAGTCCCTCAAACACTATGTTTGTTTCACCCTGAGGGACCTTTGCACCTGCTTGTCCCTCCGCTGGGAATAATCAACTCCCAGGTCAGCTGGCTCCATCCCACAGTATCCTTCTCTAACCATCTTATCTAAAATAAGCCCATGGGGGACTTCCCTGGAAGTCCAGTGGTTAAGACTCTGAGCTTCCACTGCAGGGGAACGCAGGTTCCATCCCTGGTCGGGGAACTAAGATCCCACATGCCCGGTGGCGTGGCCAAAAAATAAAATAACCCTCTGCCCCCTGTGCCTCTATATCACTTGTCCTGTCTTTACACCTTCACAGCCCTCCTGCATATAGAAACTGTACTGTGTCTTGTGTGTTTCTCTCCCAACATGTAAAGTTTCAGTAGCGTGCATGTATTTTGTCCCGGGCTAAATCCCAAGCCCCCAACCTGGAGCGTAGCATATAGCAGGCACTGAATAATATTTCTTAAATAAATAGATATGAGAATGACTATTGCTTCTCAATAAAATACTACCACGACCACCAGCAATAACAATAAGAAACTCTCATTGGTTGAGACTTATTGTAGTCCAGATCATGTGTGGACTACTTTACACACGTGATACGTCCTTTAAACCTCACGAGGTCCTAGAAGGTAATGTTAGCCCAGAGCTTAGAGTGAAATCCAGCCTCTAAGGTTCCAGTCCATCTACTAACCCCTCTGCCCCCAGGAGTACCCAATGTCCAGATTTCCCTAAACGTCCCTTTAGTCCTAAAGAACACCATCGGGTCCCCTAAGGACACGGCCCAGGAATACAGGTGGAGAGAGGAGGGGGGTAGGGACTCCTGCGTCTGAGGGGGGAGGGGCTGGGGGCCTGGACTCCTGGGTCTGAGGGGGGAGGGGCTGGGGACCTGGACTCCTGGGTCTGAGGGGGGAGGGGCTGGGGGCCTGGACCCCTGGGTCTGAGGGAGGAGGGATTAGGGGCGGGGACTCCTGGGTCTGAAGGAGGAGGGGCCGGGGGCCTGGATCCTGGGTCTGAGGGAGGAGGGGCCGGGGCCTGGATCCTGGATCTGAGGGAGGAGCTGGCTCGAGCGCCCGGCTCCTGGGTCTCCGGAAGGCGGGGTCTGCGACCTGAGATACGTGGGGTTGACGCACTGGAACCCCGCGAACTCAGCCCTGCACGCTTTCCTGCGACTCTGCACGCCCCGCAAACCACGCCCCCTTTCTGACAAAGTCCCACCCATCTTCTTCCAGACGCTTCCCCGCTCACTGGGCCGTGGAGAAGTCGTGGCGAGGGTCCTAGAAAAGACTTGAAAGACCCCGGTGAAGATGGAACAGAAGGAAGGGACTGGGCCAGAGGGGTGAGAGACGCAAGACTTCCCGCGGGGAGCACAGACACCCAGAAAGAGGGAGGGTAGAGAAAATCAGAGTTGAACAGACCCAGAGAGTATCAGGGGAAAAAAAAAAAAAAAGTCTTGGGTATCATCACACAGAAACAGAATCTTCGACAGTCTTGGTGACAGAGAGAGTTGAGCGAGATGCTTAGAAATAGGGAGAGAGCTAGAAACATATTTGTGGAACAGAGAAATTTCGAGAAGGAACCAGAATGGAAGATGCCAGACACAGACGTAGGGCTGGAGAAATAATAATTGTCCACATTTATTGAACATTTCCCAGACCCAGCCCTTTAGTAAGCACCTTTGATAGCGCCAGAAGCTATCTCGTGGTATGAAAACGTAAGGTTCGGAATGGGAAAATGATTTGCCCAAACACGACGCGAGGGAGGCAGCCTGGAATGGGAGCCGCGTTCTGTGGGATGCTGGCAGACCTGTCTGTCTGTCTGTCTGTCAAGAAAACGGGAAGAAACAGAGAGAAAGGGGCCTGGAAGTCAGAGGCGAGCTCAGTCCTGAGGATGGGGAGAAATGGACTCCTGGGAGAAGCCGGGAAGCAGAAAGGCTGCAGCAGGGAAGGCGTATGCAGATGGGGAGACCCACTGACCTGTCCTTTTGTTATTCTAGGAACGACCTGCCTTCCCCAGGGACTGAGGCGTGGCCGCCTGCACCTTTCCCAGCCCTGTTCCCTTCTCTCCTGGGCACCCCAGATCCAGCCCACCTGGGGCTTCCTGAGAGCCTGGCCGCTGTCACTGTCCCCATCCGTCTGGATGCTCTCTCCTACCTCCTGCACAGTGCCCTGATGGGAGCCTACACGCTTCAGCAGTCCTTGCCCTCCTGCCCCTGCGCCCCACAGGCGTGCTGCACCCAGCCGGGCACCGCCAAGAGGCCGCCCAGGGGACGAGGGGGCAGGGACGTCCGACGCAGGCCAGGCCGGGGTCAGGGCCAGCGGCAGTGGGGACTTGGGAGGGCTGAGCAGGCAGAGAGTGGCTGGGTGGGGAACCCTGGGGCTGGCCCCAAGACCCCGCCGATGACGCTGCCATCACCAGCACCACCTGCCCAGGATGGGAAGAAGGACGCCCAGGGTCCGGAGCCGCCCCTGGAGACGCCGCCTGCTGATGACTGGGAGGCCGAGTACTAGGACCCTGAGGACCTGCACCCTGGACTCCGGAGGGGGCCCTTGAGGGTCACCAGGAGGGTGTTCCTGGAGCCCAGGGTGACCTCAGCCCTGCTGGAGATACCCAAGAAACATCCTGCTCCCATCCCTCTTCCTCTCAAACCACAGCCTCAGGAGGGGGTCCTGCGAGTCACCTGGTGAAACCCAGACCTGACATAGGATCCCAAGACAGGGAAACAACCCTGAACCTCATGCCCAAACCCAAGCCTCTTCCCATTTCTCACACTGTTCCCAGCTACAGCGACAACACTCACCTCGCTCTCAATGCCCAGGGCTCCTCTAGCCATGCCCAGGCCCATTCCTAACCCCAAAGCCATTCCCACCTGCCTCTGCCAGCCCCATCCCACGGCCACACTGAATCCCACATCCCGCAGCCATTCACCCCCATTCCATTCTCCATCTCCGCCCTGACCCATCCTCATTCCCATCCACCTGAAGGCCAACCAATCCTCATCCCTGATTTCTCCTGCACTCCAGCCCTGTCTTCAACCCCAGCCAGCCCCGCCCCGCCCTCAACCTCCTTCCTGTCCCAGCCCCAAACGTGACATGCCCTGTGACCCCACCTGCAAAGAACCCCATTGGCCCAACATATCCAGATACCTGCAGCCCCACCCCATCTCCTGCCTTTGGGGGAGCGGGGCCGGGCTGAACAATAAATGGCTGAGTGACCCTACGTCTTGTGTCTGTGTCTGCTTACACAGCTTGGGCTAACCCCGAGGGTGCCGTGGAACGAGGCCTGTGAAAGGGTGCTAGGGTGGCTGGGAGGGTCACAGAGAGAGGCCGGTGGGACCAGGGGCTGCGGGGAGGGAGGGCCTGGATTCCTGCTTCAGCGAATTCCATCTGGGGCGTCTGCCACCACTGCACTTCTGCCTGCTGGAAGCTGCTGGGCCATGGGGCCATTGTATGGGGAGGCTTAAGGGATTTGGGAGACCCTGGGAGCAGAGAGGCCAGCGACCTGACCGGGCTCAGTCTGCACAGAGGGTCCGAGTCAGACGGAGGGTTCAGGGCAGGCTCTGCCCCTCAGGTAGGGACCAGGTGTGGGAGCCATGGGCCCCTCCTCCCCCTAAATCTGGCAGCCAGGCCTCCTTTCTCTCACAGGGACTTGGTGGGGTCCTAGCCCTAGCCCCCTCCTCACCTCGAACCTGGGAGTCCAGGGCCCCGGCCCCCTCCATCCCCCAAAGACTTGGTGTCCCAGTGGCCAGCCCCTTCCTGGCTTAGGACCTGGAAGTCTAGGTCCCCAGCCCCTTTCTCCCCCCAGGACCCAAGGGTCTAGGTTCTCAGCCTCTCCTCCCCCAGACTCAGAAGTGCAGATCCTGAGCTCCCTCTGCCCCCCCAGACCCAGGGATCCAGGTGCCCAGTTCCTTCCTCTCCTTGGGACCTAATGTCCCAGCCCCCCAGCTCCCTCCTCACCTAGGATCTGGAAGTCTAGGGCCCCAGCTTCTTGTCCCTCAGACTAGGAATCTAGACCCCCGGTCCCTTCTCCCCCAGGACATGGGAATCCAGCTCCCGACCCCATCTCTCCTTTTACCCACAGATCACCATGTACAGCTTCATGGGTGGCGGCCTCTTCTGCGCCTGGGTGGGGACCATCCTCCTGGTGGTGGCCACGGCGACAGACCACTGGATGCAGTACCGGCTGTCGGGGGCCTTCGCCCACCAGGGCCTGTGGCGATATTGCCTGGGCAGCAAGTGCTACCTGCAGACGGAGAGCATCGGTGAGGCTCCGGGGCAGGGTCTGGGCTGTGCCTGGGGTCAGAGCCTCACGCGGGGCAGAACCTTACGGTGGAAAGGCCACCTGTTTGCAGATGGAGAACCTTGTGGCTCAGGGAGGGAAAGCGTCCAGCCCAAGGTCATTCAGCGTGGAAGGGGCAGAACTGGGATTTCAGTATTTTTTTCTAGTACAATTACAGGATGTACCGATTTAGAGGTTAAGTAGAGAGGTGACATTTCCTGGCATGAAATAGAGGTCAGATATAGCAGTTGGGGCTGGGGTTATCAGAAGAGCATTTTCTAAATATCTACTAGGTGTCAAGAACTATATTAGGTACCAGGAGGATACAGAAGCAATACGGACCCTAAGTTTGCTAACACTGGATGAGATACTTTTTAATACTTGCTGTGAGGCAAGCCATGTAACACATATGTGTATATGTATATATGTGTGTGTATGTATATGTGTATATAGATATATACGTGTATATAATACATTATATATTGTAAAAATGGAGATAAAAATAGTACTTACAGTATAGGATTCCTGCAATCTATATTATATAATACATATTATTATAATATACTATGTGCCTCTACGTGCCTCTTTCCATATACATATATATTTGTATATATGTACAGTCTTCCCTCAGTCCCTCATTAGCCACAGAGAATTGGTTCCAGGACCCGCCGTGGATACCAAAGCCTCCGGATGCTCAAGCCATGTAGTCGGCCCTCCGTATCCGCGGTTCCGTATCCACGGTGGTTCTGCATCTGGGGATTAAACCAACCGCGGATAGTGTAGTGCTGTATGTATTTATTGAAAACAATTCTCACGTAAGTGGACCTGCACAGTTCAAACCTGTGCTGTTCAAGGGTCAAATGTATATGCATGCATATATATGGAAAGAGAGATGCATAGAGATGTATAGTATATTACATAATATATACATTATATTATATACATTATACAATGTATAATGTATATACAATATACATATATATATATATAATGTATATACAATATACATTATACAATATATTAATAATACATAGTATATCACATGTTCTATATTATCTGTATCCAATCATAGTGTAGTAATAATAATAACAATAACTGGCATGTATTGTTACTGTGTCCTACATGCTATTCTAAGCGCTTTGCCTGGATTAACTCCCTTCGGTGTCCCAACAACACTAAGAGGGCTGTTCTGTTGTGTCTGTGAATTAAGACACGACACTTGACCTCAAAAAGTCAATTCTTCTGGGGAGGGGGTTGGGAAGAGGAGCCAACCCTCACTGAGCCCTGTGAGATGACAGGCTTGTGGCAGATTTCACCTACCCCATCTTACCAAACCTACCCATTTGCTGGAGGGATAAACTGAGACAGGGAGAAGTGGAAAGGTTTGCCCTGGGCTACCAGTCTCAGAGCCCCACCTGGCTGACTTCGTACATCCTTTTCATTTCTGGCTGTGTCCTTTGTCACACTTCTACCATTCCTCCTGCTTCAGACTGGGAACACCGCCAGACACTCTGAGTTCCCTCTGCTGGGGATGGGAGAGAGGGAGGCTGGATGGACGTCTTCAGCTTCATTTGATATCTTCATGACCACAAGACTGAGAGGCTCAGGGACATACCTCACCCCGATTGATTCTTGGGTATTTGTCCAAACAGCAGGTTTAATTTGATCATCCATCGTATAGCTGACGTAATCCGATCACCGAAATTAGAGCAGGAGTCCTGGGTTTGCTTCCCAGAGGCCAAACCCAACCCAGGACGCGTATGCATAGCATTTTTAAAGCTTCCAAAGTCATTACCAGTATTTTAAAAATCTGGAGATTTTTACATTAAAATCTGGACTTGCAGCTCTTCTTGAATAATCCAGCTTTGCCTGTCTTTTCCAGGCCCATGGTCAGCTGGTTATGAGAAGCAAATGCCCCCTTCAAATGGGGTACACCGGTCAGGGTCCCCTCAGGAGACAGAAACCACACTGTGATTTGAATAGGGAAGGTTTTATCTAAAGATGAAGCTGATCATTGGTCGCTGGTACATACGTGTTCCCCATGCAGCCTGCCGTCTCCTGCCTTTATTCACAGCTGCAGCCAGGCCTCAGAGGCACTTGTGTTTTCCACCCCTGCATTAGCCCAACCATGGGAAAGAAATAGGCTATAACATCCCCCATAAGTCCTCCAGACTTTTAAATACCCAGAGGCACGTGTATTCCTTTTCTAAGGCTGCCGTAACAAAGTACCACAAACTGGGTGGCTTAACAGAAATCTATCGCCTCACAGATCTGGAGGCTGGAAGTCCAAAATCGAGGTCTCTGCAAGGTTGGTTCCTTCTGAGGGCTGTGAGGAAGAATCTGTTCCCTGCCTCTCTCTTAGCTTCTGGTGGCTGCCCGGCAATCTTTGGTTTTCCTCGGCTTGTAAGTGCACCAGCCCACCTCTGCCTTCATTTTTGCGTGATGCTCCCCTGGGTGTGTGCCTGTCTGTGCCTGTCTCCAAATGTCCCCATTTTATGAGGACACCAATCATATTGCATTAGAAATCCACTCTACTCTGGTATGACCTCATCTTAACTACTTACATCTGCAAAGACCCTATTTCCAAATAAGGTCATATTCCGAGGCAGTGGGGGGAGGGGGGAGCAGTTAGAACTTCAACATATGAACTTGAAAGGGGAGACACAACGCAACCCAGCAGCCCGTAACAACATCCGTGAAGAAGTATCCAGGAATTGTTCTCCCCTAGACTTTCACAAGACAAAAGACTGCATTTTGCAAAGATCTAAGGCTTTTTCAGTGGCAGGATCCCAGTTCTGCCCGGGGTGATAATCCTCATGGGTTCTCCGAGAGACAGAATAACAAAGCGGTTAAGACGGAGGGCGTGGAGCTTGGCTTTCAACTCCAGTCCTTTTGCTAATTACGGGACCTTGAGCAAATCGCTTCACCTCTCTGAGCCTCCATTCCTTCACTTGAAAAATGGTCATGAAAATCTTACTTAGAGCATAGGGCTCTTGGAAAGAATAGATAGGATCATATATGGGAAGAGAGCCTGGTGCGTACTTGAGAGTTGCCAAATGGGAGATGAGATCGTGATGAGTGTTCCCAGGGCATCTCCATTCATTCAACATGTTTCTTGAACACCTATTACGGGCCAGGCACTAGGTGCTGGGGATACAGCAGTGAGTGAGAAAGCCAGGCCCTTGCCCTCGCAGAGCTGAGAACTCAGCGGAGAGAGATAGACATCATAAACAAGTTAGAAATAAATTAATGGGACATTTCTAAATATGGGTAAGTGGTATGAAGGAAGGGAAAGGGAGCATGGGAGAGAGGATAGAGAGTGAGTAGCAGGAGGATATGGGAAATCGGCATTCGCTCACTCATTCATTCATTGAACAAGCATTTCTCCAGGCCCATGTGCAAATCAAACCTCTGCTGGTGTCTGTGGTGTAGAGTCAACCAGGTCCCTGTCCTCAGGGAGCAATCAGGCTGGAGAGGGAAACAGGCAAAGAGAGTCTCAACCCAGAGCAGGGAGTGAGGATGGTGCCTGAGGGGAGAAGGGATGCTTCCCAGAGGAGGGGATCTGGGAGCCGGGCTTTGGAGGACGAATAGGAGTCTGCCAGGTGAAGAGGAAGGGTTTTTCAGAGAGGTGAAGGAGGAGCTAGGTCAGGAATACAGAGAGGGGTGAGGCATTCCTGCCCTCAGAGGTAGCAGCCTTCACCACTGAGGGCAAGGAAGGCACAGGAGTGACTGTGGGGTGCTCCCACAGCATACTGGAATGCCACCCGGGCCTTCATGATCCTGTCCTCCCTGTGCGCCACCTCTGGCATCATCATGGGCATCATGGCGTTCGCTCAGCAGCCCACTTTCACCCGCTTCTCCCGGCCCTTCTCTGCGGGCATCGTGTTTTTCGCCTCCAGTGAGTGACTCACCCCCTCCACCTGCCCCCTCCCAGCTCCCTCTCCAGCTCTACCCCCAACACCACTTCCATTCCCCACTGTTCCTCACTCCACTGCACCCGCACCCAAATCCCCCCTCCACCTTCGACGACAACTTCAGGACTATTTCTAATGCCAGTCAGTTCTGACACCAGCTCTGTGTACTGCCATTCAGTTCTGGAACTAACCACCGGAGCTGGCGTCAAACCCCACAGGTTTAAAGGCACGGTTCCCAACCAGACTGCCCCTGCTTCAGCTGCAAGTGGGGTCCCCAGCTCACCTGTACTTTTGACCAATCGGCTACAGATTCAGGGGTTCCCAGGACCTGCTCAGGTTCAGAAATGTGCTAGAATAACTCACAGAACTCAGGAAAGCATCATACTTACAGTTTTATTATAAAGACTACAACTCAAGACCGGCCAACTAGAGATGCATAGCGTGAAGCCGGAGAGGGGTCCTGAGCATGGAGTTTCCATGCGCTCTCCCTGCAGAATTAGGGCTCGTCAGCCCATCCATGCATTCACCAAACAGGGAGCCCCAGTGACCGCCAGCATCCAGCATTTCTACTGGAGTTTCATTGCAAGGGCATGAATCACTGGCCATGGGATTGAACTCTATCTCCAGCTCCCCTTTCCTCCCCAGAGGTTGGACTGATCCCAAGCGGCTCAAAGCCCCAACCCTCTATTCCCACGGCTGGTCTTTCTGCTGACCAGCTCCTATCTCTGAGTCATCTCTGATCATCAACATAAACTCAGGTGTGATCCAAGAACATCAAAGACACTCCTAGTACTCAGAAAATTCCAAGGATTTAGAGTTTCCCTCCCAGGAACCAGAGACAAAGACCAGTCAGATTCTTTATGACGCAACACAACCCCACACCATTCCCACCCTAACCCTACCCCTCATTCATTTTTACTCCCACTTTCAACTCAACCCCCATCCTCACCCTTATCCCTACCTGCACCCATACCCGCTTCTCAATTTATTCATTCCCACCCCCATCTCCAAACCCGCCCCCATCCCCATTCCCCCACCCCCACCCCCGACCTCTCTCTCCAGCATTTTTCGTCCTGCTGGCCTTGGCCATTTACACTGGAGTCACCGTCAGCTTCCTCGGTCGCCGCTTCGGGGATTGGCGCTTTTCCTGGTCCTACATCCTGGGCTGGGTAGCCCTGCTCATGACCTTCTTTGCAGGTACTGGGTTTGGGGGTGGAAAGGCCAGTGTCCGGGTGAGATGATGGGGGCGAGTCCCACACAGGCGCCCCCGGCACTGAACCAGAAGGCAGACTCCAAGCCCTGTGGACACCAGGGAGAAAGGGGATGCTGTGTCGGTGTCTGGGGCTGGGAGCAGGGGCTGGGAGGGCTGATGGGGGGCTGGGCGGGGTCAACCGGGATCTCTTCTCGCGCAGGAATTTTCTACATGTGTGCCTACCGGATGAATGAATGTCGGCGCCTGTCCACTCCCCGCTGAACCCAAATGTGTGCCCCGACTTCATCTGGATGTCAAAGTCAGGTCACTGAAGAGGAGGCGGTGGGTCTAGAGGCCTGAAATCCTGGTTCCTGGGGCCTGGTGGAAGCAGTTGAGGAGACCCAAGGCCCCAGCCACCAGGGGGGTTGTTAGAGAAACGGAATATCCATTAGAGAGACTTTTTGGAGTTTAATAAAACTGACGGAAACTACTGAAGTGTGGTCCCTGAGGCGTTCGAGTGGAGAGAAAGAGGGGTGAAGTGTGGTGAATGGGGCAGGGGTGGTGGCATTATAGTAGGCCTGCCTGCTCAGTTCCTGTAGGAGAGATGGGCACAGAGATAAATTGCACAGTCCCCCCCCCTACTAGATTCACCTTTTTCTTTTTGGGCTGCACCCCTCGATGTGTGGGATCTTAGTTCTCCCACTAGGGATCGAACCTGGGCCCCCTGCAGTAGAAGTGCGGAGTCCTAACCACTGGACCGTCAGGAAAGTCCCTGGGTTCAACTGCTAGGAAACCAATGTGTAGGTCCAATTCTGATGGGTGTGTTTTTTCCCCACACCACCAAGCGAATAACTCAATTCTGACACGATCTACCTAGAGAAAGTGTCAGATCACACAAGTTAAAGACACAGCCCTAGAAGACCGCGCCTCCCACTTCAGATGCCAATCACAAGCCCAGGTTGTCACTTGTGCTTCTGAGCAACCAGCAATAGATAGAGGTCCCAACAACCCCCTCCTTGGGTTCCATTAATTTGCTAGAGCAGCTCACAGAACTCGGGGAAACATTTTACTTACTAGATCACCAGTTTTTTATAAAAGGATATAACTCAAAACAACCAGATGGGGCTTCCCTGGTGGCGCAGTGGTTGAGAGTCCGCCTGCCGATGCAGGGGACACGGGTTCGTGCCCCGGTCCGGGAAGATCCCACATGCTGTGCAGTGGCTGGGCCCCTGAGCCATGGCCGCTGAGCCTGCGCGTCCGGAGCCTGTGCTCTGCAAGGGGAGAGGCCGCAACAGTGAGAGGCCCACGTATCGCAAAAAACACCAACCAACCAAACAAACAAAAACCAGCCAGATGGAAGAGATTCACAGGTCAAGGTAAGTGAGAAGAGGTGTGGAGCGTCCATGCTCTCTCCAAGTAGGTCACTCTCCCCCAGAAAGCACGTGTTCACCAGCCCAGAAGCTCTCTCAATCCTCTCCTTCTGGGTTTTTCTGGAGACTTCATTACATAGTTATGATTGATTAAATCATTGGCCATTTGTGGTTGAACTCAGTCTCCAACTTCTCTCCCCTCCCAGGAGGTCAAGGGGTGGGACTGCAATTTCTGACCCTCTAATCATGTGGTTGGTTCCCCTTGCTCTCACAACTTAGGAAATTCCAAGAGTTTTAGGATCCCTATGCCAGAAGTGGGGACAAAGACCCAATATATATTTATTATAAAACATAATATCACAGTAGGATAACACGATAAATGAAAAGATCTGTGGACCTTCCCCAGTGGTCCAGTGGTTAAGACTCCACACTCCCAATGCTGGGGGCATGGGTTCTATCCCTGGTCATGATAGGGACAGAATAAAGGGACAAAGTAGGTAATTAAATAGGGGATTAGTTAAATAGAGGATTTACTTACACTAGGGGATTGTAAGTAAAGAAAAAGTATGGGAGACCCCTATAAGTTAAGATCACTTAAGAAAGCAGGTTTGCTTAACCACAAAACCAAGCAGGTTTGCTTAGCAACAAAACCATGCAACAGAAGCATGAGACATGCCCCAAACAATAAAACAATGGTGGCGTGAGACCCACATCCTGTCCCGTGAGCTCAGTAAGTTAATAACCCCCATGACATTCTCTCTGCACACATACAAGACAATAATTTATGGAAAGGTGATATTTCAAAGTGAAAGACCCTCATTGTACTGAGACCTGAAATAATTTTTCCATAGTGCCATGACAGTCCTGGCTTGACCATGTAGGGACAAAAAAACTCCCCTGCCCAACCTGGAGGCGGAGCTGACGATGGAAGCATGACGTCTACTCAAGAATGAGGAAGGAGGTGGTCTTCTCCCCCTCCCCACTTTTCCTTTGATTATAAAACAGGAGCCCACTAAGTTCTCGGCGTGGCACCCTCTCGCCCACCCACTTGTAAGCCTCATAAGCATCCTATCCTCATAATCTAATAAATCGCTTCTTATCTCATCACTTTGCCTCTCACTGAATTCTTTCTGTGCTGAGACAACCAGAGCTCCTCGGAGCCCTCCAGAACGCCACTGAGCAAATTCAGCCTGGGAACTCAGATCCCACATGTTGCCCAGCGCAGCCAAAAAAAAAAAAAAAGGAACAACTGTGGAAAAACAACCTCCTTGCCCACTCGCGCCATCTCCAGTTGGCTCTCCCAACCTCCTGGCCCCTCCCTGGATGGACCCTTCCAAGGAGAAACACCAGAAGTCTGATCTGCACCTGGTCCTGCACTGCCTCTTCATCCATCATTCGTGACTTTGATCTTCTCTTCACTCACTCATTCATTAGTGCATTCCATAAACTCGTGCCAACTGCCATGAGATTTACTAAAGCTTATCACGAAATAATAAGACTATTTAGGGAGGCTAATTCCAATAATAAGAATATTTATTACAGCCTAGGCTAGGAACTGTTATATTAATAGAGGCTTACTCCCTAGAAATATTTATTGGGACCTCCTCAAATAACCAAAATACTATATTTATAGAGGCTTCCTCTAGTATAATAGCAACTGAAGCCTTCTTCTCTAATTATAATTTATTGAGGCCTATTTAAGTAGAAGTATTTCCTGAGACTTATTCCAGGAATCATATTTATAGGGGCTGACTCTAGCAATAATAATGATGTTATAACTTCAGACTCGTATCTCCAACTACTTACTCAACATTTCCACCTGAAAAGAAGAGGCATCTCAGTTTTCACATATCTGAAGCTGAGCTCCTGAATTCTCTCACACCTCGCATCTGCTCCTCCCATGGTCTCCCCCAACTTAGTAAATGACAAGTCCATTTTTGTTTTAAATTTTTTTAAGGATTTTTTCTTTTTTTAAAAAAAAATTAATTTATTTTATTTATTTTTGCTGTGTTGGGTCTTCGTTTCTGTGCGAGGGCTTTCTCTAGTTGTGGCAAGCGGGGGCCACTCTTCATCGCAGTGCGTGGGCCTCTCTTGTTGTGGAGCACAGGCTCCAGACATACGGGCTCAGTAGTTGTGGCTCACGGGCCTAGTTGCTCCACGGCATGTGGGATCCTCCCAGACCAGGGCTCGAACCCGTGTCCCCTGCATTAGCAGGCAGATTCTCAACCACTGCGCCACCAGGGAAGCCCGACAAGCCCATTTTTATCTAGCTGCTCAAGCCAGAAACATTGGGATCACCCTCCATAGCTTTCCTTCTGTTACGTCTCACATCTGATTCATCAGCACATCGTTTTGGCTCCACCTTAAAAATGTATTCGGAATTGGACCCCTTCTTGGTCAACCATGGTTACCCCCTGATCCCAGCCACCATCATGTCTCACCTGGCTTATTGCCACAGACTTCTAACCAGCTCAGCCTCAACCCTTACCCACACCCCACCCAATCCCTGCCCCTGCAGTCCATTCTCTACACAGTATCTAAAGGATTTTTTTTTCATTTTTTCTTTTTCAAATTTAATTTTATATTGGAGTATAGTTGATTTACAATGTTCTGTTAGTTTCAGGTGTACAGCTAAGTGATTCAGTTATACATATACATATATCCATTCTTTTTCAGATTCTTTTCCCATATAGGTTATTACAGAATATTGAGTTCCCTGTGCTACACAGTACGTTCCTTTTTTTTCTTTTTTTTTTTTTTGCGGTACGCGGGCCTCTCACTGTTGTGGCCTCTTCCATTTCCATTGCGGGGCACAGGCTCCGGACGCGCAGGCTCAGCGGCCATGGCTCACGGGCCCAGCCGCTCCGCGGCATGTGGGATCTTCCTGGACCGGGGCACGAACCCGTGTCGCCTGTATCGGCAGGCGGACTCTCAACCACTGCGCCACCAGGGAAGCGGGTTCTTTAGGTTTTTTTTTAGTTTTAGTTTTTTTTAGTTTTTTTCTTTTAGTTTTTTAAGGAACCTCCATGCTGTTCTCCATAGTGGTTGTACCAATTTACATACCCGCCAACAGTGTAGGAGGGTTCCCTTTTCTCCACACCCTCCCCAGCATTTATTGTTTTTAGACTTTAAAGGAATTTTTATTAAAACATGATTCCAATCATGTTCCCCCCTCTGCTCTCAGTCCTCCAGTGGCTTGGACCTGGAGGTTGGATGAAGATAAAAAATGGAGGGGGTGTGCTGGGATTGAGGTAAGAATTACAGGGTCGGGGAGAAGTATGAAGAAGGAAGTGGGGGTGGGACTGGGGCTGGAGTTGAGACTGGAAATGCCATCTGGTGTGGGGATGGATGTGAGGAGAGGGTTAAGCGTCTGGGTGAGGATGGGTTTGGGTTTGGGGATGGGGTTGAGTTTGGAGTTGGGTTTGGGAATAAGAATGGGGTTAGGTGAGAAGATAAGGATGGGGTTAAATTCAGGGATGGAGTTGGGGTTGAGAAATGGGTTGTGTTTTGGGGTTAGGTTTGGCGTTTTTTTTGTTTTTGTTTTTGTTTTTTTTGTGGTACGCGGGCCTCTCACTGTTGTGGCCTCTCCCGTTGCGGAGCACAGGCTCCAGACGCGCAGGCTCAGCGGCCATGGCTCACGGGCCCAGCCGCTCCGCGGCATGTGGGATCTTCCCGGACCGGGGCACGAACCTGCGTCCCCTGCATCGGCAGGCAGACTCCCAACCACTGCGCCACCAGGGAAGCCCCTAGGTTTGGGGATTGGGATGGGTTGAATTTGGGGTTGGAGCTGGAGTTTGGAATTGGAACTGGGGTTAAGGACGAGACTGAGGGAATTCCCTGGCTGTCCAGTGGTTAGGACTCAGCGCTTTCACTGCTGGGTCTGGGGTTCAATCCCTGGTCAGGGAACTAAGACCCCGCACGCCATGCGGTGTGGCACACACACACACACCAATAAATAAAATAAATAAAAGGATGGGATTGAATTTGTTGTTAGGAATGAGAATGGGGCTGGGTTGGAGGGTAGGGATGGGGCTAAGGATGGGATTGGAGCTGCCTGCGGTCAGGATGGTGTTGGGTTTGGGATGGGGTCAAGATGACAGATGGGGGGAATCCCCTGGCGGTCCAGTGGCTAGGACTCCGTTCTTTCACTGCCGAGGGCCCGGGATCAATCCCTGGTTGGGGAACGAAGATCCCACAAGCCATGTAGTGAGGCCAGAAAAGAAAAAGAGAGAGAAAAAGATCTCAGATGGGTTCTGTGCGTGTGATCACCACGTGCCCTCAGCTGAGACTTCCCGAAGCTGGTCCGGCAGCTAATCACAGGAGCTGTTTTGGGAGTGGCACCCCAGCTGCTCAGGACCTGGATCCCCTTCTGGGAGCCTGTCCTCAGGAGCGGCCAGTTACCCCACTGGTGAGCATCTGGGAGAAGGATGGGGGCCTGCAAACTGGAGTCTCCAACCAAGGAAGAGGACAGAGCCTCCTGGGTCACTCTGGTTCTCCCCTTCGCCAGCTGTCCTGGGACTGTTAGCTCAGTTCATCTGCGGGACAGAAGTCCTCTCCCAGGTCATTCCTGCTTCGTAGAGGTCAAGTTTGTCTGGGCCTTCCACCTGGGCTGTGGTACCTTCACCTTCTATTTGAGGTGGGGCCCAGGACCTGATGCTGCTGTGAGGGGAGGGCCAGAAAGTCCTGCACTGACATCCTTGACCCCCAACTCCCACTCCCCGACCACAGAAACCCAGATCCCGTTGATGAAGCACACCAGACGGAAAGCCTTGCTCGAAACAGCACTAAGTGTGAACTCATGTATCAGATGAGGATGTGGGCGTGTCTTCCCGCCACAAACCTTCAGAATTGCCATCGCTGTTTACCTGCCCTGGGCATAAGCTCTAAGTAAGGAGCCGGGATTCTGTGTCCCCACGCTCAGGACCTGGAGTCTAGGCTTCCTAGCAGCTTCCTCCTTCAGCCCCAAGCATCCTAGCCTCCTTCCCCCTCCTTTTATGGAGACCCTAGAATTGGGGCCCCCGTCTGCCAGAACGGAAGGTTGCAGAACCCACAGGAAAGAATGATGCATCCCCCAACGGTCCCCTCTGGCTACACCTCCCCCTCCCATTGAACTCACACCCTGGCCTCACTCACCACACCCCACCTCTGGGCCTCCCAAGCCTCTCTCTCACCTCTTACAGGAAGCCCCCTCTGGTGTGGAGGGCTCCGAGGGCAGGAGGTATGGAAACGTCTGTAGAGACACACTCTACCCACCCAAACCACTGACAATGTGACACCTCCAGGGCCCTCCCCCCACCATATACTGTGAGGAGAACCTCGAGGGGTGGGGGGCGGGTGCCGATGCAAGCCGGGAAGAGAGGATGTGTGACGAGTCAGCCGCCACGAACTGGGTGAGACCAAACTAGTCTGATCTGAAGGACCACAGGTCCCCCAGCTGCCCCAACTGCTTGACTCTCCCAGGAGTCCGGGGGGCAGAGCTTCCTCCTTTCTCAGAGACCCAGGAATCTGGATCACCAGGCTTTTCATCACCCGGGACCCAGAAACCCAGCCTTCGCCCCCATGGAGCCCTGCCGGTCCCTGGCCCTGCTCACTAGCTCCCTGGGCCTGTTGTCTCTCTTGGTGGCTCTGAGCACGAATTTCTGGTTTGTGGCCGAGGGGCCCAGCTCCTCGTCTCACTCGGGCCTCTGGCCAAGGGGAGATCAGGGCTCAGTAGAAGGTAAGGGGGAGCGGTCTCTCTTGGGGTGGGGAAGGGCCTGAGGGGACGGGCACTTAGCAGTCCCGTCTCTGAGCAGGCTATATCCGCGTGACACAGAGCTTCTGCATTCTGGCTGTCCTGTGGGGCCTGATCTCTGTGAGCTTTCTGGTCATGTCCTGCATCCCTTCACTGTCTGCCGCTGGACGCGGCCCCATTGTCTCGACCTTCATAGCCTTTGCCGCAGGTAAGGACTCCGGGCTGCGCTTGGGGCGCTGGGACCTGGTGAGTTTTCGCGGAGGGGCTGAGCCATCCTTCTTGTCTCCGTCCCCAGCCCTCTCCCTGCTAGTGGCCACAGTGGTCTACACTATCGAGCGGTGGAAGCAGCCTGGACACCCCCAGATCGACTCCTTCTTCTCCTGGTCCTTCTACCTGGGCTGGGTTTCAACTGTCCTCTTTCTCTGTGCAGGTGACTGCTGCCCTGGGGAGTTCCAGGGGTGGATAGGGGCCCAGCTGGGGGCTCTGAGGGAGCAGGGCAGGAGCCAGGGTTTAACTTCTCTCTGCCAACCCAGGTGGCCTGAGTCTGGGAGCTCACTACAGGGCCCACCGGCCTGGCTATGAGGCCATGTGAACCACAGGACGGCTTTGGCGCTCCATTCTCTGAAGGCGTCATCAGGAACCATGAAGACAGCTGGCTCTCCTTCTTGCCCTGACTCCCAGCGTCTGCAAGCTCTTTCCTTTGTGTCTTCATTCATTCAATAAAAATTTGCTGGGATCTGGTTATTCTGAGGTTAATGCTACCACAACAGAAGCCAGCGACACTGCAGCTCCACGGCGGATGACACTGGGCACCCAGAGAGGAGTCAATCCTGCTACCTGCCCTGCCCTAGAGATGCTCCCACCAGAGTGGGAACCAGTGTGGGCTCGGGCCTGGCCCCAGGGCCCTTGTCTCTCCATCCTCTCTCTCTTTTCTTCCCTTTGTCTTTCTCCCTTTAGCTCTTTCCTTTTGCCCCTTCTGATTTTGTCACCCTTAGCGCGCCTTCCTCATTTCATTAATAAATTCACTCTTGGGACTTCCCTGGTGGTCCAGAGGTTAAGAATCCGTGCTTCCACTGCAGGGGACACGGGTTCAATCCCTGGTCAGGGAACTAAGAACCCGCAAGCCGCGGGGTGCAGCCAAAAAAAAAAGAAAGAAAGAAAAAGAACAAATTCCCTCTTTCAGCTGGCTTTTCCTGAGTGCATCCTTTCTGCTGGGCCTCCCACTGGGGACGCTGAAGGTGAGTCAGATCAGGCCCTGCCCGCCAGGGGCTCCAAGTCCGGTGGGGGCAGGCAGAGCCCAGGGCGGGTGTGGCAGGAAGACTGGCTGTGTCTGGAGGAGGGGTGTGGTGTGGAGGTGAGCTTTCTGGGGAGACTGTGTTTAGGGAACACCTAAATACCGAGGGAAGGTAATGCGGGCAGAGGGACCCTAAGGTGAAGGCGTGGAGAGGCTGGGAGTTCTCAGGGGATGGAGAATAGTGCTTTGTGGTCCACTGTAGAAGGTGAGCGGGAGGGGAAATGAGGATGGAGAGGCGGGTAGGAGGCAGCACCTCTAGCCCAGCAGTTGACTGTCTCTTGAGGGTGATGGAGAGCTAAGGGTGTGAGCAGGGGAGGGACAGCGTCTGGCCTGGGTGCCAGAAAGCTCCTTCTGGGGCCCATGGGGGAGGCTTGAAGGGGAGAGAAGAGCTTGGCAATCCAACAGGTGGGACATGAGACAGGACAAGGGTGCACTGGGGCCAGGGCATGAGAGGGAAAGGAGGAAAGGAGCCAGAAAGTTTCAGGGGGTGGGAGGAACTGGACTCAGGGATCCAAGGGCTTTGTAGGGTGAGGGGCAGGAAGAGGGCGAGGATAGTGCCCAGGGGTGTGGTCCAACTAGCTGGATGGGGTGATGGTGTCCTCCCTGGTTTGGTGGAAGATGCTGAGATCAGTGGGGATGTGGTTGGGTGTCAGGGTCTGGGAGGTGGTCAGAAGCAGGTGAGGACCTGGGCTGGAGATGCAGTGTGGGGTGCTCTCAGAGCATCGGTGGTCACTGGAGCTCACCTGGCAAGAAGATGCAGAATGGAGTTCTCCAGGAGAACCGGCCTTGAGAAGTGGAGGGAGGGGCAGGAGGCTGCATGGGGGCCTGGGAGGGCACAGAGAGCTGGGGACCAGGAGAGCTTATGGGGTCAAGGGAAGAGCAGCTTCTAGGACACGGGCTACCATGTCATGGCCCTCAGGGTCCCCCAGACTTGCCACCTGACTCTGAGCTGTCAGTTTGCCAGAAGAGCTGCTTCTGTGTGTGTGTGTGTGTGTGTGTGTGTGTGTGTATGGGTGGGTGGGTGGTTATCTCTTTAAATGGCCACTAGAGAAGGGGGTTCTGGAACTCCTGCTGCCTCACAGAGACCCAGTCTCCCTTCCCCCACCCTCTGGGCTCTGTCTGACAAGCCCTGGGAGCTGTGGGTGAGTCATTTAGGTGGGTGTGTGGTGGGGAAGGCAAGGGACAGGCCAAAGTCACGTCTACTGGGGGATGGAGGTCTCTGGAAGGCAGAGGTTCCTAAGCAGTGATGCCTGAGGGGGCAGGTGGTCTTGGGTCTGGGAGGGGCCTGAGGGGGGTGGTCCCAGAAGTAGGGGCACCAGGCAGGGGTGCAGGGGTAGCCAGCTGGGATATGGAGGGACATGCAGGAGGGGGTCTCAGGGACCTGGGGGTGGGAGGAGCGTTGGCCAATCCTGCATGTGTGGTCCTCGGCAGCAGCCTCCCTGGCATGGGGGTGAAGCGGAGCCTTCAAAGCGGGGGCACCTTGCTGGGCTTCTTGGCCAACATCCTCACCATTCTGTCCATGGCCACCAACTACTGGATCCGCTACTCTGGGGGCCACAGTGGCCTGTGGCAGGAGTGCAGCGGGGGCACCTGCTCCAACATCTCCTGCCAGAGTGAGGCCCCGCCGCCCAGCTGTCAGACCCTCCCCCCCTACTGGACAGACAGCCCCCCAGCACTGACCACAGCTGGCCCCCTCTCCTGACACTACAGCCGGGCACATCCTGCGGTGCCCCCGCCCCCAGCCCTTCCACTTCAGCCTAAGATCCAGCTGTCCCTCCGTGACCAGGCCACCAGGAACCCCAACTCGGGGACCTGCCTCCCTGTTGCAACATTAACCGCCGCTCACGATGTAACTTCCAAGTCCCCATCCCAAACCCTGACTCTGCTCCCAGCTCGGAGCCGGCGGATGGGGGTGGTGGCCAGGAGCGGCGCCAGCGGGGTTGATGCGGCCCGCTCTCCGCAGCCATGCTGGCGGTGACCGGGGCGTGCATGGTGCTGGCGGCGGGCTGCAGCATCGTGGGCTTGGTGATGGGGCTGCGGATTCTGTGCCAGGAGGGCGACTCGCGGGGCCGGACCACAAGTGCCATCTTCTTCCTCTGCGGTGAGATGGCATAGGGTGGGCCTGGTAGCTGGAGGAGGTAGGGGCCCCGAGGGGGAGGAGCTAAAGAGGCGGGGTCAGGGGCGGGGCCAGGGAGATGGGGTAGAGTAGGGACGGGAGGGCGGGCAAGAAGGGCGTGGTCTGAGGCGGTGGGCGCGGTCAGGGTGAGGCTGGGTGCAGCCCCCTGGCCACCCTCACCTGGCGGGTGGGCGGGGCCCAGGCCTGCTGCAGCTGATCGCCATGACAGGCTACACAGTGAAGAATGCAGGGAAAAACGACGTCTTCTTCTCCTGGTCCTGTTTTTCGGGGTGGCTGGCTTTACCCTTCTCTGTTCTCGCGGGTAACCTGGATAACGGAAGAGGGTGGAGAGGAGCCTGCCCCGAGGACCCCCCCCTCCCTGCAGAGACGCCCCAGCTGTCCTCCCAGGAAACACCACAGTGACCTCCCAGGGACTCCTGAACACACTCCACTCTGGGCTCCCGTGGACCCGACAGAAACGCCCTTGGAGCCCCAAACCCCAGTCCCCGGGGCCCTCCCGACCATCCGCCCTAGTACTCACCCTCCTCCACCCGCCCTCCGTTCCCTTCCCGCCAGGCTTCTGCTTTCTGCTGGCGGACATGATCATGCAGAGCACGGATGCCATCAGTGGATTCCCCGTGTGCTTATGACCGCAGCTGCCTGGGGCAGAATAAAGGAACTGCTTCCATTGCCGCGGCTCCACGTGCCTTTCTGGGGGACCTGAGGACGCGGACACGGGGGTACCTGGAGGCTCAGGGAGGAAGTAAGGACACGAACCTATAGGGAACGTGGAGACATGGGGGGACACGGGAACGGAGATTCGGTCATGGACAGGACAAGAGTTTTGATGGGAACAGGGACAGGGGGTAGTGGGGTCAGGAGGGGACAAGGGCTCGTGGAGAGGATGTAGGGACACAGACATGGAGGAAAAGTGGAGACAGGGACGGGGGAGGACGGATATGGGGGAACGTAGAGGCACGATCATAGAGGGGATGAGGAACACGGGCACGGAGAGAATGGGGGGACTCGGACACATAGGCACCGCGACTCGGAGAGGCGAGTAAGAGGTGCGGACCTAGGGGAGAGGGCTAATCCTAGGGCACTGGGAGAAGCTTAGGACTACTCGTTGAAACTCCTCCCTGGCCACGCTTCCCTCCCCCGCAAGACCTTTCCCCTAGTTCTCGGCCACGCCCCCTTCACAAAGCAGTTTTTCCCTTCCCCTCCGGGTTCCGCCTCCCTCCCCAGGATCCTCTCCCCATTGGCCCGCATCCGCTTGCCGCACCGCCCTCCCCTCAGGCCTCCTGATTGGTCCTCTGTCGGGGCGGGGAGGCGGGCACCGCAGCGGTTGACTGGCTGGTGGCGCGGGGCACCGGCGCAGAGAAGGACAGGGGGCGGGGCGTCCGGACCGCGAGGCCGAGGGTGAGGACTGACCCGGCGGGTCGCCGCGGAGGGAAGATGGCGGAGCTGCGCGCGCTTGTGGCTGTCAAGAGGGTCATCGACTTCGCCGTGAAGGTGACCGGGCCCCCCTCTCCCTCCTCCCTGAGCCCCGCGGCCGTATACTTCCGGGGTCAAGAGCGCACACTGTATGAGGGTCTTCTGGTACCTCTGATCCTCTGCAGCTCTTCCCTCAAACGTCAAAGTCACACCTGAGGGCAAAGGTCAAGAACTGAGAGGTTCTGACGCCCGATCCCTCTTCATTCAAACCCAGCCCTTCTGGGTCATGACCCCGTTCCCCTTCCGCCAGTTCTGTACTCACTGTCTTGAGAATTGTGTGCAGGGCGAGTTACCTTCTCTTTTTCTTACCTGCTGGAGGAGCCGTGGTTCCTGTTTAGCACACGCAGAAACTGAGGCGCAGAGGGGTCACTCAGCTGGGAAGGGGCACAGCCGGGATTCCGATCCAGGTCCCTCTGACTCCTCATCCCAGCTAGTGCTTTGCACACAATCCAGGCTTTCACCCACTCGGCTGCACTGCACACTCGGTTGACTGTTCAGCAAAGAAAAAGTGCTGTCATGGAGGTCCTATGGGAACCCAGAAGCTATCACAGCCCCAGGGCAAGTGAGGAGACGCTGGGAAGGGAGAAGTGTGTTTGCTAGAGATGAAAACCAGTCTGACAAGTTGGTGGTATAGCTTACCACCTCCATGAGAGGGGTGGAGGGCAAGGTCTCTGAGGGCCTGACTTGTCCCCAGACAGAAGATGGTCCAGACAGAGGTAAATCAGACACGGTCCCTCAAGCCACTTTGTCTCAGTAGTTGGCCTAAACCAGACTGAAGGCAGTGACTGTCCATCCGTGTATGTTCCCACCCCGCAATGCCCATCAGACCAGGAGTCCACCTCTGTGTCCCCAGCATTGCCCAGTACGGGGCCTGGAGGCCTGACCCTCGCATGAAAACTTAAGCATCATTAACAACCCACATTTAGTGGGTCCTTACTGTGCACTAGGCAGCGTTCCGGGTCCTTGATGGAGATGAGCCTATTCAGTCCTTTCAATACCGTCTAGATTTTTTTTTTTTTTTTTGGTCATGCTGCGTGCCTTGTGGGATCTTAGTTCCCCAACTAGAGATTGAATCCTGGCCACGGCAGTGAAAGTGCAGAGTCTTAACCACTGGACCGCCAGGGAATTCCCCTGTTTAGATATTGTTAATCCTGTTGGACAGGTGAGGACACGCCTGTGGAGGTGCTGTTGGCTGCCGGATCACCCGGCTAGGCAGCTGTAGCCGCCGTCAGGTCAGAATGCAACCAAGTCCTGCTCTCACTCAGCAGCCACTTGGCCTAATGACAGCTCTGGCAGTGTGTGGCAGGGGGGTTGCTTGTTTGGGGGACAGGCTCGTCTTGGGGTCCTGGGACCCAATTCTGGTTTCCTTCCCATTCTGACTGTCCCTTTGGGCTCCCATTGCCCCCCTCTGCCACAGCCCTGGGCCCTGGCCTGAGATGTCTGGGGTCATATCTGTCTCCCCCGCCAGACAGGCTCACATGTGACTCAGCTCTGGGTCCCAGCATTGCGCCGCCCAGGACCTAGCCCATGGGTGCTTCTGGTGTTCGTGCCAAATGGGGAAGTGTGAACTCCTCCTGACATGAGCTCCTGTCCTTTTTCGCAGTGTTGGCAGGGCCGCCCCTCCCACGGTGCCCCAGGGCATCTCCCTGGATGTGTCTGAAACAAGTGATTCAAACGCTGCTAACTACCTTAATCACCAACCAGACGCCACCCCAGCCCTCCTTCCCTCGTCTCCCATAGCCTGTCGTTTCTCAGCCCCGTCCCCCCTGCCCTCTCCATCTCTCTGCCCTGCTCCCTCTTCTGCAGCAGTTCAGGCTTCATCTTCTTCTACCTGAACCCTCACCGCTGTCTCCTCCTGTTTCCCCAGTCTCTCCCCTCCAGTCCATCCCCTCCCAGCCTGCGTGTGGGGGGCTTCCTGCCCCCAGGGCTGACCAAGGCCCCTCCGCTCATGCCGCCACTCCCAGCACCCTGAGGACAAAGTCCCAGCCCCTCCGCCACGTGCTCGAGCCCCTTCGTGGTCCAGCCCTGGCCCCCTGGCCCTCCATCACCCCTTTGTGCCTCCCAGCTGCTCATACTTTCCTGACAAACTCGGCTGCTGCTTGCCTTGGGCCTTTGCCCCTGCTGTGCCTTCTGCCTGGGTGCCCTTACAGCTCCCCGCTTCCCCCATCTGCTTCTCATCCCTCCTTTGTCCTGCCTAACTCTGATCCCACTGATTGTAATAGGGTGTAGGGATTACCTGGCATCACCACGTCCAGGAAGCCGCCGCCCCCCCCATCCCCTCAGGCTACCCTGATGTGTCCTTGGGTGCTCCTGCAGCCCCCTGGGCTTGCATCTCAGCCCTTCCCACACTGGATTGAGATCCTCTGTTTGCCCAGTTGTCACCCCCTGCCCCCAGACTGGCCGCTCCTTTCAGGAGGGGGTGGTGGTGGTGTGCAAGGTCTGACCCAACTCTGTGTTCCCAGCATTGCTTCCTCACTCCCTTCCAGACTTTCCTCAGAAGTCACCTTGTCGGGCTTCCCTGGTGGCGCAGTGGTTGAGAGTCCGCCTGCTGATGCAGGGGACACGGGTTCGTGCCCTGGTCCGGGAGGATCCCACAGGAGCGGCTGGGCCCGTGAGCCATGGCTGCTGAGCCTGCGCGTCCGGAGCCTGTGCTCCGCAATGGGAGGGGCCACAACAGTGAGAGGCCCACGTACCGCAAAAAAAAAAAAAGTCACCTTGTCTATGAGGCCTTCCATGGTCACCTGCTTGGCCTCTCTGCCTGAGTTGACCCATCTAGCAAATGAGGATGGCGGTGGCAGTAACCCACCTCCTGGGCTGTCCGGACGGTTAAATGAGTGAACACCTGTAAAGCCCTTGGAGGTTGCCTGCCTCCTGTTTCTGGCTGTTTCTTTCTTTCCTTCTTTCGTTTTTTCTTTTGGCAGCGCTCTGTGGCACGCGGCCAGCCAGGGGTTGAAGCCATGCTCCTCCATCCCCCAGCCCTGGAAGCACGGAGTCTTAACCAGCGGACCACCAGGGAGGTCCCCTCTGGCTGTTTCTGTTGAGAGTTAATTTGTTACACCTTTAGAGAGAAAGCCTGGACGCTTCACTGAATCATCTCCCTCAATTTATAAAACATCGTTATTAAAAAAAAAAAAAAAAAGGATCATCACTGATTTTTCAGGCCAACCATGGTTTCCCGACTTACGTAATTTAACTAAACAGTGTTTTTGAAGCTTGAAATCAACTCAGGCTTCAAAGGTCTTCCCCGGAGAAGGTGAGCTGGCACGGGCCCCTGGTGCTGGAGAGCTCGCAACCCTTCCTCCTTGGGAGTCAGGAGTCTGGGGCTGAGAGTCCTGCCAGGGCCGGAGCAGGCTTGAGGCCCTCTCTTGGGCCCCCTGGCTTCCCAGTGAGGCCTTACACTGATGGGCTGCTTTCCTATTTATAAAGGGGAAACTCCTATCTTGGATTTTATTTTTTTTCATGAAAGACAGGGCTTTGGCCTGTTAGTTTCCATGCTGTTTAGTAAGTGTTTGATGAACGGACAGGTGCAGGTTTTAATGCATTACTCTTGTGAGCAAATTCTCATTCATTCATCCGACAAATATTTCCAGTGCATCCACCACATGCCAGGCACCGCTCTAGACCTTGGGGATACGGTCATGACCAAAATACCCATAAATCCCTGTCCTCATGGAGTTGACGTTCTGCTGGGGAGAAGACAGCTAATCAGTACAGCATATGTCATATGGCAGGCATGCTCCAGAAGGAAACAGAGGAAGGGGGCGGGGAGAGTTAGGAGGGATGCAGTTTGAGGAAGATGACCAGGGAAGGAGGTGAGGGATGGAGCCAGGGGCGTGTCTGGGAAATTCTGGGGAAATCCTGGGTGACATGCCCAGCCCAGGTTCTAGTGAAAAAAAAAAACCATGGACTCAGTGCATGGTGTTTGCTCCATGGCTTTTTCTGTAAAGTGCATTCATTAAGTTCTGGGGTTTGAGCCTTACTGTTGGTGCTAAGGTGACTTTTTCAAAATGAAGTAACAGTGATAGAAAGTGTGGGTTGTCCTTCTCCTCGTTCTCTTCCTCCTTTTAATGTTACCAGTCCCTGAGGTGCAGCCAGACTGGGGGACCCCTGCCTGAATCCCACATTCCCATCTCAGTTCTGTCCCGTGGATGGGAGGAACAACCACATCCTTCAGCCCCAGAGAAACAGGTGCAGGGAAATAGTCGCAGAGAGAGAGTCCCTGCTGTCAGCCCAGGTCTGCTCCGGCCAAGGAGAAGAAAGAGGTGAGGTCCTGAGCCAGATTAGGCAGGCTCCCAAGCCAGGCTTCTCTGACAGTCTCTCTCTCAGGCTAGAGCCTAGTTCAGCATCCTCCCCCGCTGGACTGATGTACCCACCAGAAACCCGAGAGTCCTGCTAGACTCTTCCCTCTCCTGCCCCCAGCACCCTGTCAGTTTCACCTCCACAGACCTCTCCAGTCCATCCACTTCCACATGTGGCTGGATTGTCCGAGCCACTGTCATCTCTTATTTCGGTGACCAACAGCTGCCCAGCTGTCTCCCCACTTCCGCTCTTGCCATTTTTCCAGTTTTCTACACCGAGATACAGAACGACCTTGTACAAACTTAAGTTGGATCCACTCACCTCTTTACCTTTCCTTGTTGTTCTCTGGATCAAGACCCAGCTCCCCGGCATGGCCTGCTGGGCCCTGCGCAGTTGAATTCGTGTCCTATTGCTGCTGTAACTAGTTACCATAAACTCAGTGGCTCACAGCAACACAGATTTATTCTCTTACAGTTCTGGAGGTCAGAAGTCTGAAATGAGTCTACTGGGCTAAGATCAAGGTGTCAGCAGAGCTGCATGGCTTCCAGAGGCTCAAGAAGAGAATCCGTTTCCTGGCCTTCTCCAGCTTCTGGAGGCCACCTGCGTCCCTTGGCTTGTGGCCCCTTCTTATGTCTTCGATCAGCAGTCTAGCGTTTGCTCTCTTGGACCCTGACGCTCTCTCACCTCCCTCTTCCACTTGTAAGGACCCTCGTGATTACTTTGGGCCCACCTGGATAATCCAGGATAATCTCCCTCTCTCAATTCCTAAACTTAAATCACTTTTGCAAAGTCCCTTCTGCCATGTAGGCGACAGTCACAGGTTCCAGGGATTAGGATATGGGCATCCTGAGGATCTGTTATTGTGCCTGTCACCCCGGCTCAGCCCCTGCCAGCTTCGCTGACAGCGTACTGTGTTCCCCTGGCCACACCAGCCTCCTGGGACTCCTCAAACCTCAGGGCTTTTGCACATGCTCCTCCCACACCCCCAGCGCATTCCCTCACACTTCACCTACTCGATGCCAGTTCCTCTTTCAGGTTCAGCTCAAGTGCCACTGCCTCAGGGAAGCCTTCCCTGATAGCCTCCAACATCAGACTGGGTCGGGCCCCGATCGTGCTGTCTCACAGCTCCTGGAGCCCTGTTCAGGAATTGTCAGGTGGTACAGAGGGGACTCGAGTGCTTGGGGCGCAGAGCACTGCTGACTGGCCGTGTGGCTTTGGGACAGGTGCTTCTACTCGGAGCGTCAGTTTCCTCGTCTGCCCACAGGGACAGCGACGGCTCCTCTTTCACGGGGCTGTTGCCAGGATTGATGAGTTAGGACGTGATTGCTTAGAACAGGGCTCCTGCAGTGGCCAATGCTGTCATCCCTGTTTGCTACCAAGAGGATTGTGGGGGGAACAGTGGCCCCCCTGGGCTATGAAGTTCC